TTGGGCTACCCTTTTACCAACGAATAGTAGGATTGACCGTCACATTATAACGCCCCCACGGCTGAAAGGGCGAGCGAGACGGGGATTCGAACCCGCGACCCTCAGATTGCGAGTCGAGCGCCCTAACCACCTGGCCATGCCGGGCTCTGTTTGTTTGAAGTCAAGCACAAAGCTACATAATGGGTTATCGAAACCCGGTTTCTGGCGTTGTAAGTCCGCAGACGTTGCTACTGTTTAACTTGTTGATTGTAAAAACTTAATTGAATTTCTATAATATTATGTTGAAAGATGGGTTATAATGATGACGTTGTAGACGTAAAACGTGTAATTAAACGATTTGTTGAATATATTCAACAAAGGTTTAACGGAATAGATAGAAACATAACATGCCGAAGTGTTGTCTGATTTGGCACGTGCGTTTTGAGATTACTTGTTGGCTACTCTGATTCAGGACCGTTTCGGCCACCCGTTCACTACATGGCTTCACTATCGTTTCGGCCACCCGTTCATTACATATCGATCGCTATTGACCTGTTAACTATATAGCATTAATACCGTTTCGGCTGCTTGTTCATTATATAGCTTCACTATCGTTTCTGTTACCTGTTCACTACATAGCCTCAGCACCGTTTCGGTCACTTGTTCACTACCCAGCATTTTGGTTGTTTGGATCACTTATCTTCAGGGGTAGTGAACAAGTGACCGAAACGGTGGGCATTTTGGTTGTTTGGGTCACTTATCTTCAGCACCGTTTCGATCCCTGTTCATTAAATAGTTTCAATACAGTTTCTGTTACCTGTTAACTATATAGCTTCAGCAACGTTTCGGTCACTTGTTCACTACGTAGCTTCACTAACGTTTCGATAACTTATCTTCTTCAGCACGTTATACGAGACGTGAGGTTTTCTTATAATCATATCTTCCAAATAACAGCCTACCACAGTCGGGTCTTACGACTTGCGCTACCGAAAACAACCAGGTAAGCTTTTTCTTCTAAAGTGATTGTTCGTAGTTGAAACCCGGGCTTTATAGAATCTAGGAAAAAGAGCTGTATCTGCGTTAATATTTTTTAAAGCTCCAAACTGAAACCCAGCTGTTTCACTTTCCAAGAATCGTTAATTCATTGTGAATACTGCCATGCACGATACTCTGGTCAATACTGTGGAACCTTGATTGTTAACATTAGGTCAATAATAACGGTTATGGAAGTTACAAAAACGGCCACACTTTCGAAACTGGCTGACATCCCGATCACACGCGAGAAAAAACATGAAGGGAAGAGTCAGGGCAGACTGGAGGAAGACAACAAGATGATCACATGTTACAGACTGGAGGAAGACAACAATGTGATCAAATGTTACAGACTGGAGGAATACAACAATGTGATCAAATGTTACAGACTGGAGGAAGACAACAATGTGATCAAGTGTTGCAGACTGGAGGAAGACAATAAGATGATCATATGTTACAGACTGGAGGAAGACAACAATGTGATCAAAAGTTACAGACTGTAGGAAGACAACAAGATGATCATATGTTACAGACTGGAGGAAGACAACAATGTGATCAAGTGTTACAGACTGGAGGAAGACAACAAGATGATCACATGTTACAGACTGGAGGAAGACAACAATGTGATCAAGTGTTACAGACTGTAGGAAGACAACAAGATGATCACATGTTACAGACTATAGGAAGACAACAATGTAATCAAGTGTTACAGACTGTAGGAAGACAACAACGAGATCAAGTGTTACAGACTGTAGGAAGACAACAAGATGATCACATGTTACAGACTGTAGGAAGACAACAATGTGATCAAGTGTTACACACTGTAGGAAGACAACAAGATGATCACATGTTACAGACTGTAGGAAGACAACAATGTGATCAAGTGTTACAGACTAGAGGAAGACAACAACGAGATCAAGTGTTGCAACAGGATTGATAAATTGGATCTTGTAGTTAGTAATACAATGAAATAAAGCTTATAACGTTAAAGTTTCGGTATCGCATCATTTAACCCTGAAATTACAGTATTTTCTCTCCTTTATTCTATCCCTTGGATCTATATTAAATAGTACTCAGTAATTATATGCTTTTTGACAGTAAAACAATGTATAAAGAATTGAATTCCCCCCCTTCCCCCAATGAGAGTGTGTAATCAATACTTTTCCATGTAATGTACAAAGAAGTCCTCAGCATTCACCACTAGGCCTTACTGCAATATTGATGGTATTTTTCGTTTACATTCTTTTGGCTCCGTCTAACCTAAACTAACCTAACCTAACCTAAACCTAATCAAAACTAACCTAACTTAAACCTAACCTAACCTAAACCTAACATAAACCTAACCTAACCTAACCTAACCTAAACCTAACCTAATCTAAATTTAACCTAACCTAAATCTAACCTAACCTAACCTAAACCTAACCTAACCTAACCTAAATTTAACCTAACCTAAATCTAACCTAACCTAAACCTAACCTAACCCTAACATAAACCTAACCTAAACCTAACCTAACCTAAACCTAACCTAATCTAAATTTAACCTAATCTAAATCTAACCTAACCTAACCTAAGCCTAACCTAACCTAAACGTAACCTTACCTAAGGCTAACCTAACCGAAACCCAACCTTACCTAAACCTAACTAACCTAACCTAAACTAAACCTAACCTAACCTAAATTTAACCTAACCTAAATCTAACCTAACCTAACCTAAACCTAAACCTAAACTAAACTAATTTTTCTTCAATATACATTTTATTTAGTCGGTATAAGAGATCCAAAATCTTTACAATTATTTGGCCGGTTTTGTCCTTGTTTTGATTGGTTTACTAGAGAACAAGTTTGTCATGCCAGATTTTTCTTCTCTGTTTATGAAGAACTGCCTTTTGTTAAGCCTTATCTCCGTCAGTTTATTATCAGTTTCGCTTTAATATCATTTGTAACTTCGGTATTTTTGAGATAAAATTTTTATTTTGTATTTAAATCGAAACAAAATTTTAGCTATTTGAAACAATAGGACACGTAATGTTTGTGTTTATTTTTGGCTCGTGTTCATTCGTACGTCTGGCTAATAATCTTAAAAGCTAGCCGACTTCGTAAAACGTAGTTATTTCGCAACTTTGTGTTAGACGTTATTTGTTACAGCAAAACAAACATCGTTTATCGAATTCACGTCGATAATCGTTTTTACCGTATGTTCTTTCAAGCGCAAATACTAACTTTGGAAACTATGCGCGTAGCAATAGGCGTCTTTTAGCGAAAAGACTGCTTATTTCTTATTCAGATAATTTCTTTTATAGCAAAATATGGAGACCTGAGGTCGAGGCTATTGAGGATTTAATCCTACACAAATAAGAGAGTACAGGAGCTTCTAGGTTGACGTACAGTAACTAAGTATTCTCCGAGTAATCCGGTTTCCATAAATCCAAATTCAAGATCCCCCCTTCTTTAACTTAATCCCTAACTTTAATCTTTCAGTTCACAGACGGAATACACTTCTTGGCAGATGTCAAAATATGACTTATGTTTGTATACAGATTTTAAGATTTCGTACCCAACTTAAAAACAGACAAATAATTCTAGAAAAAAAGATGACTCTTTGGTCATTAACTAGGGTTAACTTACAAATCCATTCAAGTTTTTTTTTTCACCCAATATTTTTTACTACAATATGGCGATTAATATCTCCGTATATGGCTATATTACGTAGGTATAGTTTACTTGTTTAAAACCAATGGACGTCTTTGACAATTTTTGATGTTTTCAGTAAGGTTTTTCTTTCTGAGAAGTGCTTTTTAAATGTAAATACGTTTCGCATTTTAACACGTGATTGCTTATAATTCTTCATTCAGAATTGTGTGGTTTAACGGATGGTTCTCTAAACGTCATTAAAATATCACGTGACCTTCCATTCTGTTTTTGTAGTTTATTCTCAAGTAACACTTGGAATGTCCCTCGCTTCCCTACTTTTACTTAGATTAAAATCTCAAAAAACAAATCACATTCCACACTTTGGGGGGCCGTGGGTGCGTTTTAAGAGTGACAGTCAAATCCCACTCACTATTCGTTCTGACAAGAGTAACCCAACAGTTGGTGGTAGGTAATGTTGACTAGTTGCCTACTCTGTAGTCTGTCACTTGTAGCTTTGCGCGAAATTTAAGAAACAGACAAACACTCTTTGAAATAGCACGTGACCTTCCCCTTATTGTTATTCTGCCTTTTTGAACCTTAATTCACTGTCAAAAGCTGCCGTTCTGAACCTTAATTCACGGCCTGAAGCTGCCGTTTTGAACCTTAATTCACGGCCTGAAGCTGCCGTTTTGAACCTTAATTCACGGCCAGAAGCTGCCGTTTTAAACCTTAATTCACGACCTAAAGCTGCCGTTTTGAACCTTAATTCACTGTCAGAAGCTGCCGTTTTAAGCCTTAATTCACGGCCAGAAGCTGCCGTTTTGAACCTTAATTCACGACCTAAAGCTGCCGTTTTGAACCTTAATTCAAGCCCTGAAGCTGCCGTTTTGAACCTTAATTCACGGCCAGAAGCTGCCGTTTTAAACATTAATTCACGGCCTAAAGCTGCCGTTTTGAACCTTAATTCACGGCCAGAAGCTGCCGTTTTGAACCTTAATTCACGGCCTAAAGCTGCCGTTTTGAACCTTAATTCACGGCCTGAAGCTGAAGTAGAAGTAAAACTCCAGTCAATATTTTATCTGTCTGAACGTTGGTGTGCATAGCCTAATCTGAGGTCTAAACACAAACCAAATATATTACACATAGATCAATAATACTTTTCTGACTTCCATCTCCTAACCATTTACTACATCCAACGTATTATCTGACAGACTGTTTAATATCGTCGTTTGTCAACACTTTACCCAACTGCACAACGTTTTGTTGTCTGTCGTGGTTACCACAACCATACAAAAACTTTATTTGTATAAAGTTTAATACAGGATTTAAGTGAAAATCAGGGACGAGTGTTCTTGCAGTATCTACAGGGAGTAGGTTTTAAACAATTATGGTTAAGTGTTATTTTCTGCCAAACCAAACACATCACTGGGTTTCCATGGCGAAACAGAGTAAGTGTTTACAAACCCCGCCCATGTAAATATTAACGCAGATCACCATTACAGAAAAACCTGTACCAGACTTTTGGAAAGTAACTGGCTCTTACTGTAACCTTAATATAAAAAAATAACCTAGTTAAAAGTGAAATCTTTTAAAAAAAATGCATTGTCATAAAAACACTTACGAATAGTTCCCTCTTCTTCTTTATGTCGGAGGAATTATTAAACAACTTAGAAAAAAAAATATACATGCTTAAAGAACAAAATTGTAACATATAGTTAACATGTAACAAAAGGGGTTTATTTACAATGTTTTATTTTCAAATTAGCTACGAGAAATAAAAGTATTTTCTATGAAATAGGTGTTCATTCGAATAACAAAAAGTACCACACTTTAGAACTGGTCATTTGTTTCGGATATTCGCGCGGAGCTAGCCGCCCCTAATTTTTAATTGATAGACTAGAGGTAAGGCAGCTAGCTAGTCAACAGCAACCAACGCCAACTCTTGGGCATCTCTAATTGTATAGTGGGATTTGATTGTCACAGTCCAACACACCAATCACTTGGCCACGCCCGGACCACTTTATTAACAGTTTCTTATATTCCCCCATTTTTTTTATGATGTAGGTTCTAATGTGCGTAGGTTGTAAGTCCGTAACTTGAGTTGTTGTGATTGTAGATTGTAAAACATGAAACACTCCTCTACTCTCCATTGGCTCAGAGGTAAACATGTAGGTTTATAACGCTAAAAAAAACGGGTTTCGATACCCGTGGTTGGTATAGCACAGACAGCTTATTGTGTAGCTCTGTAGTCCTCTTCGTCTAACCTTCATTTTTCGCCATCTGCACAATTAATACTAAACAATAGAGTGACGTGTTACAGAAGGAATTCGCGTTACGTGATAAATGAACCACATTGTTACGTACAAAGTGATTACCTCTTCCTTGTGATTACGCACAAGACTAATAAGTTGTTTTATCATTATCAGTTTACGTGTTCATTGTTCACCTTTTAAGGAAACGTTACCATTATCTCACTGCTTTTACGTTCCTAACGAACTGTTATTTCCAGTATTACTAAGTATGAAACAATTACATTGAAACATCAATATACGTTTGAAACGAGCACATTTTGATGGTGAAATTAGGTATAATTAAATAGCATGTACACAGCTTATTACTCCCGAAACATTTGCATGTATACAGTTATATCACTTATGAAACAGTAACGTTTACACAGCTCCATTAATCATGACACAGTTACGTTTACACAATTATATATTTTTTTACGAAATAGTAAATTTACACAGTTCTATTACGCATGAAATATTTACGTCCATACAGTTATGTTATTGTTATGTTCACACAGTTATATTACTTATGACACAGTTACGTTCACACAGTTCTATTACTTATGACACAGCTACGTTCCATATCTTACCAAACAGTTAAACTTACACAGTTCCACTACTTACAAATAGTTAAAATTTAACAGTTACATATCTTACTAAACAGTTAAACTTACACAGTTCCACTACTTACAAATAGTTAAAATTTAACAGTTACATATCTTACTAAACAGTTAAACTTACACAGTTCCACTACTTACAAATAGTTAAAACTTAACAGTTCCATATCTTACCAAACAGTTAAACTTACACAGTTCCACTACTTACAAATAGTTAAAATTTAACAGTTCCATATCTTACTAAACAGTTAAACTTACACAGTTCCACTACTTACAAATAGTTAACATTTAACAGTTCCATATCTTACTAAACAGTTAAACTTACACAGTTCCACTACTTACAAATAGTTAAAATTTAACAGTTACATATCTTACTAAACAGTTAAACTTACACAGTTCCACTACTTACAAATAGTTAAAATTTAACAGTTCCATATCTTACTAAACAGTTAAACTTACACAGTTCCACTACTTACAAATAGTTAAAACTTAACAGTTACATATCTTACCAAACAGTTAAACTTACACAGTTCCACTACTTACAAATAGTTAAAACTTAACAGTTACATATCTTACCAAACAGTTAAGCTTACACAGTTCCACTACTTACAAATAGTTAAAATTTAACAGTTACATATCTTACTAAACAGTTAAACTTACACAGTTCCACTACTTACACATAGTTAAAACTTAACAGTTACATATCTTACTAAACAGTTAAACTTACACAGTTCCACT